TATAATACGGCCCCCCAATCTACTAGACCTCAATTTTCACAATTGTTATTGTAACCTAATTATGTACAATAAAGGATTATATGCAATATAGGTAAACAATTCAGAGTCTGTCTATATTTCTGAGATGAGGTACTATGTACATTATTTACATTATTCGGACTATTGTCCTCATCTTTGTCGCCATATTTATCACAACGTTTCGGCCGTTGTACGCTCCGGCCTTCAGGTGGTTGGAATTTCGAACTGAACCCTTTATTTCGCTAACTGGGGTAGACTGTTCTAGTTCCACGTGCCATGTTTGATGGATGTCAGTTATCAGTTATCTCCTGCTAATTTTCCTCTGAAAGTTCTCCACTGCCTTAACCGTGTATTGATCTCACACTCTTTGGGTCCTGTCATTGGATCTAACCAAAGCCTTTATCCACTGTGCCATGTGTCCTTGTAGACACATACCCCAGTGAGCGAAATAAAGGGTTCAGTTCGAAATTCCAATCACCTGAAGAACGCCGGAGCGTACAACGGCCGAAACGTTGTGATAAATATGGCGACAAAGATGAGGACAATAGTCAGAATAATTTAACTAATATAAACAATTCAACTGGAAAAACTGAAAATAAATACAATGCATCCAAATACAAATTAGAGACATAGACATTTTTATATTAAAATAAATCAATAAAATTTTGCGGCGATTTTTAACATTAACTTGAGATTTTTCTCGGTAAAAAGCTGAATAATTTTGACACATTCAACATTATGGATAGAAATAGTGAATTTCATATAATGTTTTTTTTTCGAGACTTTGCATGACTTCAGGGATTTGGACGAAAGAAAAAAACATACACCAGAATGACGTCAAAATCCGCGGAAAATTTTTTCATTCATTAATAGTTGTTTTAATTTGTAACACATATATATATATATATATATATATATATATATATATATATATATATATATATAAGTAAATATATGGATATAGATCCGACAGTATGAAGAAAAATATACTGAAAAAAACAAACAAAAATCCTAATATGCGATTATGCTGTTTTAATGTTTCATGTCAACATCGGACGTTTCGGTCTAATAGACCATCTTCAAGGCATATTCATAAAACATAATTAACATAGACCATATACAATTCAACATGAAAAAGACGATGGACATAAAAGCAATACAAATCTAAACAGATAACTGAAATCTTTTATAAGATCAACGTTCCGTTTAAATATGATCACGTCGTCGTCACGTGGGCGATGTTGTGAAAACGTATTCCTAAAACGCCCTGAAGATGGTCTATTCCTAAAATGTCCTGAAGATGTCTATTCCTAAAATGTCCTGAAGATGGTCTATTAGACCGAAACGTCCGACGTTGACATTAAACATTAAAACAGCATAATCGCATATTAGGATTTTTGTTTGTTTTTTCAGTATATTTTCTTCATATATATATATATATATATATATATATATATATATATATATATATATATATATATATATATAAAAAGAAAAGCAAATATTGATAAGATACTGAGGATCATAAAGCGGTGGCTTCGGAGGTAGTACGCGCCGGCCCTGACAGTCTCGCATAAGGAAACACATATGTTAATGATGTTTCTCTTTAATATATACTTCTATTTTATTAAGTGACTTTCAATAAAGTCAGTAAATTTCTGATTTTTTTTATTTTAATTTTGAAACATATTACAATCCATCATTCAGGTTCACTCACACGATTCCTCTTGGCCTACAAGGTAGAGAGGCTTACGACCATATCACGTTGAAACCTTGTCAGTACCTTGATGGGTGACCACTTGGGAATACTAGAGGCTGTAAGCTTTGATGAGCAGATGATGTAATGGATAAACGCTTGGAATTGGAAAAATCGGAAAAAAATGTTTCCATCACCGCCAAACTACCGCCAGTCACAAGGAACGGGCCTTGAGAGAATATTGAACATCAAACTGACAGCCAGCCTCAAGTTGAACACTTATATTCGACCCTTAGCTCTAAGATACGGGTAAAATGATCTGCTCCTTGTAACGTTCCAGTAAGTACCTGACTCCTTATGCTATCTATCATCTACCTTTATAAGAGCCAGCTCAGGTCGAAAATGGAGTACCGTTGCCATATTTGGGTGTGAGATGCGCAGTCCTCACTTTCCAGTCTCAGGGTCCTTGTTAGAAAAGAATTATTTTCTACCCTCCAACCTCTCTTTCAAAGGCGGGATATGACGAGTCTTTCACTGCTCTATTGCTAATTCCACGTGAAGTGCTCGAACAAACGGCATTCCCTGGTCGTGTCAATTCAATCCTTCAAGGTAAGGACCCACCACTTACCCCTATTCCATCAGCATTCCATCGGCAAGAAGTTCCACTCAAAAAGCTTCCCGCGAACCACTGCCCTGTGGAACAGACTCTTAAGAGGATGATTCCCGATCACGGCTATCTTAGCATGTTCAAGCCTAGAGTTACCCGTTATCTTCTCATATCCATAT